AAAATATTTTACAGCTTTGTTTGTATTCTTTGCCTGCTTGCTTGCTTTTACTTATCTCTAATTCCTGTATTATGTGTCATGCAACCCCACCCCTGAGAGCTGGACTTGGTGCATGTTTTGTACAATTTTGATTTTCATTGGGAATTAAGTGGGGCAGCTGTTGCCTCTTTTCCTTCACCCTTGTAATGCTCACTTGTATGCACCTTTGGCCTCTGAGATTTTGGCTAGCAGTGCCCATTTTCTTTTAAAAATTATCATAATGACAAGGTCTAGAAACTTAGAGGTGCCCAAGATTTTTTAATTGTACCATGTGCCCATATTTTAAGCAAGTCCATGTCTGTACATATTATGCTGCCGGTGGGAGACCATTTGTTTCTCTAGCCTGTTATTGTGATGCCCATGTAATATCAACAGTTGCCTTGAATTAAGGTATCTCCTTTAGCACAAGAAGAGTGGGGTCTCTTGTTGTTTTTTCAACATAAGGCTCTGCTGGGCATCAAATACTGCCTTGCAAGAGTTTCCAGTTTAAAATGCATTTAGTTTAGTGGTCCTTTGGAAGTAATAAGCATCCCTTACACCTTTTCTTTAGTTTGCATCTTCCTTGGCATCTTCTTGTGTGTGAATGTATCAAGAGCCAAACAGCATAGCAAGATAGCAAGCATAGCCCTTTCTCAACCTGGTGTGCTCCAGAAGTGATGGACTACAGCTCCCCTCACCAAAGCCTGCGTACCTGGATGACAGAGGAGATGTGGAATTTATAGGACTTTATGTCCCCCTTTCAGTACTAACCAAGTACACGAGTGTTACAAAGGGAGAGGATGAAAAAGGATGAAATGATGGGAGCTCTGAGCCAGTTGTAAAGTCTGGTTAATCTCTGTATTTCAAACCCAGAAGCCCCTTCTTCAAGGGAATACCTTGTGCCAGGTTCACAAAACATGACATTCAGACAGCCAGATGCAAACAGTTAGCTGTGTATTTTGGTTCAACAGGTGCTTGACAGCTTCATTATCCCTGCCCCCCTGTTTTTGGCAATTTCAGGCAAGCAGCAAATGCAAGAGGTCTTTTATACCCCCAGTGAGAGGCTGGGCCTCACATGGCAGACACCTGCTGTATATCAAATATAGTAATGGATTTGCATGGCTCTCATGACTGATCCATTCTGTTGAGATCTACTCTTTCTAGGGATATAGATTCTCTTACTTCACAGATTAATAGCTCGCTCCATGAACACCTGCATCTCTCTTCAGTGACATCACTATAAATGTGTGGGTACAGTAGATCCACTTACCTTTGTGTCTATCAGAAGTGATAATTAATGCATGCAAAATACTCTCAAGAACAGTTTACAGGTGCCCCAATTTACCAGTGTTGAAAAGTGGAGGCTATTGTTGTATTCAAAAATTATTACAAAATGAATTTCCGGAAAGATATTTTTAAACTTAATGGTCACAGTATTGAATGCTGCATAGAATCCACAAAGGCAAAAGAGAAAACTACAAAGATCAACAAAGAAATCATTATGAGTAACAAACTCTTCAGTAGAGATGTGTGAGCACACATTTTTAGTGATGTCAGAGACTCCCAAGATGGGTTTTCAGGGCTCCAAGAGAGAATGCCATGTTCAACACCCATTTCTGTTGAAATGGAAGTGATACGGTTTTGCCCTGTTGCTTTTCATACCTCGTGGACCTTTCAATTTTTGTGTTCTTCTTCTAGATGATATCAGTGGGACACTGCCTACATCTGTCTTAGTGGGTCCGATGGGGTCTTCATCCCTCCAGTCTTTTCCTCTGCCTCCGCCGCCTCCACCGCATGCCCCTGGTCAGTTTAGCTTTGATGCTCAAGGCTTCCAAAATTTACAGTGTAATGGTTCCCAGCACCTGGGCTTCTTAATTTAATTATTCAGTTTTTGAGCTCAAGGCGATGTCTGAGAAATAGAATGGGTTTAATCCCAGTCACTGCAGACATTAATGATAACATATGCACGCACCTGCCTTTTCTCCCTGTGTGTCTTAGTCGCACTCTCTTTCCTGCAGAAAGCATGTATGCCCTGGAAACCTTATAATGCCCTGCACAGAACCCCACTACCACTGTCCTCCGCCCACCCACCCCCTTTCCAAGGGCCCTTGCAACTTTTGATTGTCCTTCTCCCAAATGAGTCTGTGATTGTTGTTCACTTGTGTGAAATGCTTTCATGAAGCCACGTCTACTGAGATAAGCAAAATTGGGGAGATATGGTAATGACTGGAGGAACAGTGCTTAGAATGAAGACTTTACCATATTGATTCTATCTTCTTCTTCCTTTTAAGCCAGAGTTATTATTGTAGGCAGCAGTGATCCCTGGTGCAAGGATTTAATTCACTGGGCAAACCTAACCTTCACTGCACTTAAACTGGGGCCAAGTGAATCTGGCACGGAGGGGAACAGTTCTTGCTGGACTCTTAAGTATACCTTTGCAGTGTTACGTTCTCTTTTGGACAATCAGTTCTACTCATGGGTGTCACACAAAGGGTATTCTAGTTAAAGCTAATAGACGGATTTATTTTAAAAATGAAGATCTATCTTAGTCCTTTATCAGTGGCTTTGCAGAATAAGTCTCAATATGAAAATAGCCCAGAGACCTTTTGGTAGTGTGGGTGGCATATAAGATAAATAAATAAATAAATGAAATGAAAGTTTCCTGTTGTGCCCAGAAAATAGAAATATTTGGAACTGAATTGACATCTAGGGGTGAAGGGGTGGGAGAGTGCTCACATTGGTGCTGGCATGCACGTGTGTGCACAGAGCAGTTGTGGGGAGGGCAGTCTGTGCAGGGGTGGGTGGGAGGTCTGTCTCTGTGGCCCGGTCCAGCTCAGGCCACGGACCGGCACCAGGCCACAGACCTGAGGGTTGACAGCCTCTATTTTATATGGTGTTGCTGCCCCTTGATAACCTTTCCTTCTTGAATTTTAATCCTTTTAGTGTATGATTGATTTAAATTGTTCTTTGCAAATACAGTACAGTATATAGGAACTAAGTTCATATTGCAGAGTCCTATTCCAGATAGCTATATTCTCTGGACAAAAGGGAGGAAGAAGTGGTTGACTAAGTGTCTCATAAAGGCATTTAGTCTATTGCTGTGTCTCTGTTACTACCTGTGTAGAGTCCTGGAAAGTGCCTTACAAATCAAATTGAAACAAAGGTCTGGAAATTATTCTGAAGGCAGGCATGTTTCTCTTTGGGTTGCTACTGGGAATTTCTAGAGTTCTGGGTTCAGGATCCTTTTCTACCATGGTTTCCACCCCACGATGCCTCAGTGCCCTGTTTCCTTGCCCAAACTACCTTTCCAGTACAGTTCACCATCATTCCTTCTCCATTTGTTTAAGATCTATTAATGGCACATATTTTTCATATTTTCTCAAATGGGGTGAGATCATTTAGGGCAGTGGTCCCCGACCTTTTTGGAACTGCAGACCAGTTGGGGGGTGGGGCCTCGTGTGCAGGGGGAGCACCCCCGCGCTCGCAAGTGGGTGCTGCATGTTTGCAGGTGGGCATGGCACTTTCACCGATGGGCATGGTGCGCATGCACGGATGAGTGGGGCGTGCTTGCGGATGGCCATGGTGCGGTTGTGGGTGAGTGGGTCGTGCACATGCACATGGCACACGAGCAGGCCAAGCCCATCTGCAAATGTGCTGCACCCATATGTGAATTCTCACCCGTGCATGCGCGCAAGCATACCATGCGTGTGTGCGAGGGGTGGCGCGAGATGTGACTCCATGGCCCAGTCCTGCAAAGCCCACAGACCAGGAGTTGGGGACCCCTGATTTAAGATATACCTTAGGCCTTTATTCTGAAGTGCACTTGATTTATGGTAATAATGGAAAACCTTTGGCTCTCCTGACGTTTTGGTTTTCAACTTCCACTGGCTCCATCCTGCGTGGCCACTGCTAAGGGATTGCGTGACTTGTAAGACATCTAGAAAGCCAAAGGTTCCTCAGCTCTCCCTTACAGCACGCCCTGTCCAGGACAACCTACCTGTGGACATCTTGTGTTTCTTCTTTGCCCAAAATATCTATTGTCTTGTACAACTGTTGAACGTGAACCTTCTAGAGAGAGTTTATCGTTGTGTCCTCAGGTTGCTTCTGACTTACAGCAACCCTAATAAGATTTTTTTAAAATACATGAGATGTTCAAGGAGTGGTTTAACATTGTCATTCAGGCCCATGTGTTCTCATCACTGTGTAAGCATTTAAATCCAGTCTCCCCAGTCCTAATCTGACACTATTTTCGTTACTTGAATGTGGTTCTCAGAAACAGATAATTGTTCTGCTACTTTTCATCTTATTCCAGTATTATTTTATCCAAGGTTTAATATTGTTGGTAAAAGTACTTCTGCGTTTTAGTATGTCACTTTTGACACACTTTTCTGTACAAAAGAAAGCTGTGCAGTTAATAAGGATAGCAGCATTTTTAATTATATCTATTGTCTTTTTCATTAAAACATGTGCATATTGTTTTTCCTGTATTCAAAGATCTGTGTGTTCTCAGTCATAGTTACCCTATTTCTTCACACCTTTTTCCCCCCAAACATTCATTTCTGATGACCTGGAGGAAAACAGTACGAGTGGGGGAGGCGGGCAAGGACCAAAAATGGACAATGAATCTGTCTGTTGGGAGCTGAAGTCTATTTACTGTCCTCCGTTGCTTCTGTCCCTTGCTTCTAGACAAGGGCTAGGCAGAATGCAACTCAGGATCTGCTTGGAGATCTCTGGGTGATTTGCCATAGATCAGCCAAGGTCTCTGACTGGGTTTATAACTGCAACAATCAAAATTATACCATCTTCCTAAATTTAGTTTGCTGAAATCAAGAAAGCTTTGGGGAGAAAACAGCTGTAGATGGTGTGTATAACTTTGTTATGGTATTGAAAATACATTTCTGCGCTGCGTGTGGGCTCAGAGACACCATGTTTCTCATTTCTGGGTTGGTTTTCCTGAGCCACTGCAGCTGGCTCTGGGCCACGGATGGCAGGCTTGTGGTGGAAAACAAAGTGCTTCTCCCAAGCATAAAGTCTGCCCATCTCTTCTGTAGAATGCGCTACACAGGCAGTGCTTCCAGTCCTTTCTTTTCATAGTGTGGGTGCAGGGAGGAATTGGACCTCTTCCATCTCCCTGAAGCTCAGAATTGGGAATAAAACAAAATAAAATAGAAGACTTCTGTAGCAGCTGCTACCCAGTGACTTGATTTTCACTCCTTGAGCTGCCTGTTAGGTGATTGTTTCCTCATCTCATCTTCCCTCTCCCTTGGCAGATGCATTTCCCCGAATCATTCCAATCAGAGCTCCAGAAGCAGTACACAGCCAACCTGCACAACACCTCCAGTGCCCCCTCTACCGGCCTGACTCAAGCAGTTTTGCAGCAAGCTTGCGAGAGCTAGAAAAAGTAAGTGCTGATGTTGATGTTTAGATGAGGTATTTGCATTGGTTACTTCTTTGCTGTATATTGTAAGCACATTGGATTGAAGGAACTTGTACAGTATCACAGGTGGTATTTTATATACCTGTATGTATCTATCTATAGGTACAGATATAGATAAAACACGACCTGCTGTAGATGGGAGCCACTTTGGAAGAGTAATGCAAACTTGGGCCTTTTCTGATCCAGAATACCTAGTAGAACAGTGAATCACACATTCATAATCAAATGTGATCCAAGAAAACTTTGAATCCCTGTTTTAAAGGAAACCAGTTTGTTATTCGCAGGGACGTGGTGGCGCTGCAGGTTAAACCGCAGAAGCCTCTCTGCTGTAAGATCTGTAGATCTTCAGCTGTAAGTTCGAATCCACGTGACGGAGTGAGTGCCCATCGCTTGTCCCAGCTCCCGCCAGCCTAGCAGTTCGAAAGCATGCAAACGCGAGTAAATAAATAGGTACCAGCGTTCCGTGTCTAAGTTGCACTGGCCATGTGACCACGGAAGATTGTCTTCGGACAAACGCTGGCTCTATGGCTTGGAAACGGGGAGGAGGACCGCCCCCTAGAGTCAGACATGACTGGACAAAAATTGTCAAGGAGAACCTTTACCTTTTACCTAATTTGTTATTCAATAAGGTGCCACAAGTTTTGTTCTTATTTTGTTAAACCTTTGGTGTCATTTCCCCCCCCCCATTAAAAGGTCATGATAGAGTGCTCCATTATGTCCGAATGATTCAAAAGTGGTCTTTGTGCAGAAAGGTGTTAAATCCACCTTTTCTACACCAAGTCAAACCATAGATGTCGGAACCAGAATGGGAAACCACGTACCTGGAAATGAATTTGCTGAATGCAGTGATCTTTTTCTTCATCCTATAGCAATGTGTTTCATTGCGTCAAGATGTTTTTAAAAGCCTTTGTTGTTGCTTATTGTTTCCTAGCTAGGCTTGATCTAAACCCTTCTCCCTCCATTTTTTTTTTAAAACAGTGCGGTTGGTACTGGGGTCCTATGAACTGGGAAGATGCTGAAATGAAGCTGAAAGGGAAACCTGATGGCTCCTTCCTGGTTCGTGACAGCTCTGATCCTCGGTACATTCTAAGCCTCAGCTTTCGATCACAGGGTATTACCCATCACACCCGAATGGAGCACTACAGAGGTGAGTCAGGTGGATCAGAGGCAGTCTGGGTATATAGATTTAGATGGACTTATTATCTCATTTTGCTGAGGATCAAACTGACCCTAAGAGGCAATCTGGGTCAGTTAGTGGCAATATCTTGTTTGTGGGCTCCACAGAGGGTTGGAAACTTCTCTTTAGAGACCAGCCCTGATCCCTGAAGTTAATTTAGGGGTACTAGAGGAACCTCTGTCATTATGTCTAACCAAATTGAAGATAGCCAAGTGGACTCCTTGTGAGCCATTGTCCAACCTCACATGGAGAAGAGAGAACAAAAGTGAAACTGGCAGCGACCAGTCAGTGTTGGTTGCCCTTATTTTGGTGTGGGCCTCCTTAGTCAGCCTCTATAAGAGCACACTCTTCCACTGCTTCCTCCTTTGTGCAATGCACTTCTTTTCTTGGCTCAGGAACCTTCAGTCTTTGGTGCCACCCCAAGTTTGAGGACCGTTGCCAGTCCGTGGTGGAGTTCATCAAGCGTGCCATTATGCACTCCAAAAACGGGAAGTTCCTTTACTTCTTGCGATCCAGAGTACCAGGTGTGTGTTGCGTAACACTTAGATATCTGTGTGTAAGTGAGAGGGGGTACTTCATAAAGTTAACATACAGAGTGACATCAAATTATTCTAGAGTTTGGTTGAGAAAGGATACCCATGTAGATAAATGTAACATCAGATCATCTAAACATTTGATGTCCTTCTGCAATAAAGAGAGCTAGAAACTTGTTCTCTTAATTTAAAGAAGGAGCAGCTCTTGAAACTGGAGAATCTGCACCAGATAGCAGCTTCTGCTTTTCAAGTAATTTGAAGTGAAGAGGGAATGAGGATAAGTTCACATGTTAAGAGTGCTTTAGAGATAGCTAGAGATCTGGATGTGGCCCTTATAAGATGCAGGAATCTAGACCTAGGCTTTCCTGGAAACGTTTTCATCATTCACTATCTGGCCTATCTTTCAAGTCTTCAAGGGAATGAGGGCACTCAAAGGTCTTCCATTTACTTCACTCTTTCCACATGAGTGGACCCAACATAGCATACGTGATTTGCACAGTTACATTCTTCCATCCCACTGTTGTCAACTCCTTTTGATCGGAGGCGAAATTATTTTAACAGGATGCTAAATGATGAAATGTGCAGTCTTGCAGCAAGTAGCCAACACAGGCAACTGCTGAAGTTGTGCTTATGATAACTCAGAAGCTGCTGTTTGTGTCTCCCTCCAAGCTGTCACTCTTTTATACCTTATCTTTCCATTTGCAGGTCTCCCTCCAACCCCTGTTCAGCTTCTCTATCCGGTTTCTAGATTTAGCAACGTTAAATCATTACAACACCTTTGCCGCTTCCGGATAAGGCAGCTGGTCCGCATCGATCACATTCCAGAACTGCCACTCCCCAAGTAAGTTTTTTTCTTGAGCTATGAGGCAATGTAGGCTGAAAGATTAGGACTGACCCACAGTCCCTCTGTGAAGTTTGTGATTGAGTGGGTATTTGAACTTTGCTGTGGTCAGTCAAAATCCAAACTTCTAACCACACAGGATACTGGCCTTTCAGTCTGTGATGGGAGGGAATCCATATCAGAAATAAGGTAGTCCTTTTTTTACTTACTTGGGAGATATCATAGGTATGAGGAGGATATTAAGATTGTAAAATTCAAATACAGCGGTGCCTCGCAAGACAAATGCCTTGCAGGACAAAAAAATTCGCAAGAGGAATGGTTTTGGCAATGGGGTTGATGACTCGCAATATGAATGTTCCTATGGCTGTGCTTCGCAAGACGAATGTTTTCCGTTTTTTGTTCCCGCCTCATGTTTGCTAATTTTTAAATGTTTTTCTATGATGTTTAAAAAGTTAAAGTTTTTTGATTGAAATTTCTGAAATCAACTGCACAATATAAAGAGCACTTAATAAACCTTTTGTAAACCAAATCTGACTTTGTTCTGACTTTTTTGCCCATAGAAATGCATTAATTAGATTTCAATGCATTCCTATGGGAAAACGTATTTCGCAAGACAACATTAACCACAGAACGAATTAAATTAGTCTTGCGAGGCACCACTGTAATTTGTTTTCCACTCCCCAGAACCTCTGAAATGTGGAGGGTGTGAATTATGGACAGAAGGAGGTGAAAGAAAGGAATTGGCTCATATATTACCTAACATGGTGAGGAAAGGAAAAAAAATTGGACCTTCAGATATTTTAGTCCAGAGCTCCACCCATCATGGCCAGGGGCATGGGACTGTGAGTATTAGAATCCAAACAACACAAGGGAAAAGGGTACCTTCCCCATCGTCCAATACTGTTACATATGTGCCTGTGTCACTTGGACTGGTGCATTCCATGTGTCAACCAGTCCAAGCGACATTGGGACATAGGTGTATCATCAAACAAGGTGCTGCCTGGGTGAATAAGACCTGGAAGATCAAATGCCACAGATAGGAGTAATCGTATCACTCCGCCTACAGGTGTGGTGCTTTTCAGTAGAATCTGAAAAGCGTGTGCTGTGATTTGAGTAATCAAGTGCACTGGCAGCCAGACTCTCCCAGCCCATATCGGACAAAGTGTTCTTGTCCAGTGGTATTTGTGAGCCTCTGTCGTCTCCCATGCCCCCATGTTGGAATAGTTTGAACTGTTGTGGTGTCAGCAAGATGCGTACAGGAGTGTTGCTGTTGTAGAACATAGTGCAACTTATTGTGAGGGGAGCAGGAGGAGACTTTGGCTGGAGGGTACAGGAAGGAATCCCCTTGGGCCCTGGAGACACTAGGATCTGCAACTTGTTCTCTGAAAAAGGAAGAGAGATACTGTTGTTGATTCAACTGAGACAAAGCTAGGTAGATGTCAAAATGTTATGTCAGAGTGGGAACATAGAAGGCGCAGGAGAACTGAATCCAGGAATATATGTCAGGGTTCCAATTTCAGATCTTTAGATCACCCAGAAGCTTCAGTCTATAGTCGAGCCTGCTTTCTGATTTATTTCTATATATGTATATATCCACACATACACACACCATCATTATCTTCCTTAAAAATAAAACAAATGTTGTAATGGTGCCAGCCACTCCGTGGCTCTCAACCACCCCCTTGAAGGTTAGTGTTGTATTTGCAGTGATAACCTTTGTTTTTGTTTGCAGGTCATAACAAGAAAGGTAAAGAGAGAGCTTAGAAACTTGTCCTTAATCGGGTGGTGGTTTTCAAATGGAGTTCTGTTCTGCTTTGTCATGCCTTTGAGTATTCACCTTGAATTCTTACTCTTCCAGGCCTCTGATCTCATACATCCGCAAGTTCTACTACTACGACCCCCAGGAGGAAGTCTATCTCTCCCTGAAAGAGGCCCAGCTGGTTTCCAAACAGAAGCAAGAAGCAGAGTCTTCAACGTAGTGAGGGGCCTCCCTGTCCCGTACTTGCTGCTATCACCAATGGTAAAATACATGTTGCAGGAAAGGGGTAGAATCATCATTTCCTTTTTTAAAAAAAGAAAGGTTTATATTTGAGCCTGGCTAGGCTCCTGGCAGCAGCGGGCCCATGGGTAACTGTTTCTTTCACCCAAGGGCAGGCAGCTTCAGTGGGAAAGGGGGCAGTTCTCCCTCTTTGAACTTGTACCCCTATCATTGGCATGCACTGCCAGGATGAGTTAGTTTAAAACAACCACACATGTTCTTCCACTCAGATAAGGCACACAGGAGCATACACCTTGTTTTGAAGGAGAATTGTGCTTTTTGGAGGCTTCCTGCGAGCACAGTTGCTGTCTGGCTGTGGAGCTAGAAGTTGAGAGTTGTGTCTCCTTGATAGCATCTTGACTTGATGATCCATAGCTCTGCAGTTCTAAGGTGATGATGATTCTCCTTCAAAACAAGGCATGCCCTATTTGTACCTTAAGAGTTTTAACCATTGCAGCATGTTGAAGTGGACCACAGCGGATTCAGGGGTCAGAAAAACAGATGGGGAGATTGCATGCAGTCCACATATTCCCCACCCACCCCTTTTTTAGCCTGGCAGTGAGTTGTCTTTTGTTGAAGACCACATTCCCTCAGCGATAATCTTCTAGTTTTCTTGGCAGTGATAGTGGCGGTGTGTGTGTGTGAAGCTGGCAAAGGGCAAGGCCATCCCCTTTGTTTCATCCCCAAGCCTGCTTTAACAGGCTCTCAGGGACATATCACTCTTAACAGACATCTGAATAATTACTTGCAAGAGACTTTTCAGATTATAAGTGATGTAAATAAGGCAGGATTACAAATAGTAGTCTGTTTTCCCTAACTTGTATGCTGCCCACTTCTTTACATTCCCCTTTGAACAATTCAGGCTCCTGGCCACTAGAAGTTCTCGGAATACAATTTTGGTAAAGGCACTGCCCATTTATTTACAAGGACTCTGGCACTGACATATGGCTAGATACATATATTGTGCATTTCCATACTGAAGCTTAAGAAATCTTGAATTTTGTGCTTACAAACGGCAGTTAAAAGTCAGAGAAGTGCAGAATACACACACAACTAGATTTGTATCTTTCAAGATATGGTGCGATCCTTTGATTTAAATGTGGCTTTTTGTTTTGTTTAACCCTTCTTTCTGTTCGTTTCTTTCTCTAGGAATTTGGTCACCAGTATCCTGTAGCTATAGAAGCTGTACTGGAGAGGACTCCTGGCATTTGCTTGCTTTCTGGTTGTCTCTGGGTCATCGGAGAAGGCCCAGGGCATGAAAAGAAGCACAGCTGTGCACGGAAACACAGGAGCCATGGCCCCCCCTCCCCACCTGGTTCCATAAAGATGTTGGAATCTGCTGAAACTGGACTACAAACTCCTGGAAGGATGGAGAATGTTATTTTTTGTTAAATTTCTATTTTTTTGGTGCCCCTCCCTCGTACCTTACCCTTCTTCTGGCATGGGAAATAGTGAGCCGATTATACATTTTGTTTACGTATTGCCATTTTGGGGTGTGGGGTGTGTAGGATGCGTGTGCTGCGGACATATGGAACTTCATGAATAAAGCCGCAGTTCTAGTCCAGTGATTCTGTCCGAAGGAGGCTGCTTTTGTAAGGCGAACCAGAATCCCAGCTATGTACGGTCACAGAGGAGCAGTACAACAGGGATGGGCTCCAAGGGTAGATAATGTCAAGCTAAGGGTACGGATTTCTGTTGTCTGAAGGAAGGGGGTGCTGGGTACGTGCAAGAATTTAAGCCTGATCAAGCAATGGGAAACCAACCAGATGCAAAGAAGAAGAAAAAAATGCTGATGCCTTTAACTAAACACCAACGGGACACAGGTAATATCACGGAGCTGTTCAACTGCAGGTATCATTAGCCAGCTGAATATTGGATGGATCTCTTAGGGTAAACCTTTTGCCTTTCCTCTCATCAGTTCTAATGCTGGGACCCCCGTCTAACAGACAGCTATGGTAGCAGTGTTAGTTCCTCTATGGGGGCAGAGGCAACATGCGTCCTTGACAGCTGAAACCAATCTCTGTTACAAATGGACTTCTGCCTTCCTGTTCCCAAGATCTGCAAGCCAAGCTGCCCTGCTGAACAAGAAGAAAGAAGGTTTGATGGGTGAAAGGAAACATCTGTTGGCCCTTTTCCAGACAAGGGAGCATATTTTTAGAAGCACCTTAGCCCCAGCCCAGTATGAGAATGCAAAAGAAAGAACAAAATTTAATAATAATGACCGTGATGTATTTCTACTTGCCTCCCCATTCCTGCTTTCAGTACCGTAAGGCTGTGATACAGCTTTAGTGGGAAATCTGGTGAGCAGACCAACAAAGGAAAAAAAAATTGTGTGCGATTTTAATTGTCCTCCACAAGAAGAAGATCAGGTTTTGTTGCAGTGAAACAAAAATGGGAAAGCCCTGAAATGAAATGATTGTGACATCCAAGAGGTACGTCTCCCCTTTTGTGTCTGTTTCTGTCTCCACCTGCAGGTATTTGGCATACATTTTTTGTGAGTTTATTAAAACTGTGATATTGACATTATTCTTAAGTAAACATCTTATTTATTATTACTATTTTTGTGAAGATTGCATCGTACTGTCTGTCCAAACAGTTTCTACCTTGACTTCTGCCTCTATTTCTAGAGGTCTCCACCATGCACACTGGATGCAGGAAATGGTGAGCTTTCACTGTCATGGAGATTTTACTTTGAAGTTATTTCAAGAAGGATTGTTACAGTTAACTAATTGATTGTTTTTCTAAAACTAAATTTAAAATCGGCTGATCCTGGATTTTTGAAAATCACATGGCTCTAAGGAAGTGGGGGCCTCTACTTTCCATGAGTATTTTGTCTTTTCCAATGTAGAATTACATGTGGGAGTCAAAATATCTACTTGGCTTGCTCTCAGAATGTTCACATTCCTTCATCATCATCTCATTTTGTTCTGAAGCACATGCTCCTGAACTGAACCTGCAGTGACTGTTTGGACACCCATCTATCTATGCTTTGCTCTACCCCAAAGATGCTTCTCTTTCATTGTCCAGTTCCATGTGTTTTGTTGTTGTTGTTTTTGTTTGTGGAAATTGTGAATTGGAAACACACCTAACTGCTAAAGGTGAGCTCTTCCCTGAAGGCCAGTCCTTTCCTAACCATCCCACCAACAGCAGCCAAGATCCTTGTGAGACCATGAAGGTGTCGGGCACATCATGTGGTGATGATAGTGGTAGGGAAAGCGATGTTACTGGAACGTTTGTGATTCCCAGTTTTTGATACACTGGAGAAAGACATCCCTCTGCTGTAATAGATCTAGCTAGGCTGATGGCTGGAGCTGTGCTTCAAAATAGCAACAAAGGAATAATATCAACAGAACTTACTAACTTGAAACTGAAGAGGTTCTGTGCCATGTGGGATCACAAGGAATTAAGAGGCCACCATCCTGAAGCCTTCTGAGTGTGCATTTTGAAATGTTAACCATACACTGGAAAAAAAAACAATTGTTCTATTCTAACTAGTGTATTCTGGAGCTTGTGTGCAACTGCAAAAGAGGATTTAAAGGCACTGGAATTCAGCTGTAACAGCCAAAAGGGGGATTTGATCTGCTGGCAGCTATCTGGTTAATTAATTGTTCAAAAGCTTTGGATTGTATATTGAAGTTCTCATAATTTCTTTTGAGCCCCACATACCAGTTGATTATGTCCACCCTCCTTACCTCACTTAAGATGACGAGCTCCCTGATCAACCATGGATTGAAGATTTATTTATTCTTTCAGCTTGGATGAAATCAGAGATGAAACCAGCTATTTCTCAGTCCCAGAAACCGAAGGTCTCTACTTGTGGGGATGTGTTCAGTATAACCTGGTTCAAACACGCACAAACCATGCCCCAGTGACAAACCCTAGATGCCTCGTCCTGGATTCCTGTTGTTTGGTGGAACCAAACATCTCTGAAACTGCACTGACTGACTACTGAGTCACAAAGGGCGATCGTGTGTAAATAACTTGGCTTTCCTTGGCCACTGTTATGTCTGCTGTAGTGGTTTTCTTGTAAAAGGAACCTCTCTTTGTGTGTGTGTGTGTGTGTGTGTCTTTTAAATTCATCTTTTTGGGGGGCTGTTTTATGCGTTCTCTTTTGAAATGTGTGAATGTGGTTGGGGATCCGTGTCTTGCTGTGAGAACTAATTTCTGCACTGCAGTTGTTTTTGAGTTGTCTGCCTCTAACAGAATCATTGTTCAGCCTTTTTTTGGTCTGTGTGTGTGCGTGGACGCAGCATCCCTCCATGCTCTCCATAATAATAGCAGGGAAAAATCCAAAACAGTTAACCCAAAACAAACTGGTGGTTTTTAATTATTTTTACAGTCAGCTGCTTTCTTTTAAATTAAATGCTCATTTGTTGTATCCAGGTTGGCTCTTGGAGCTTTATGACAAAAAAAGCAAACTCTGTGCTGCTTATATGATGCCCCATAGTGCTTAAAGCACTCTCTGTGTGGTTTGCAATTCAATTCTGCAGGCTACATATACATCATATGCCCTTGTTCAACCTTTTATTTCCTTGTTTCCTGGCCTGTAAAGCTTCTTGATCAAACTGAAGTTTGGGGAGGAGGGGCTAACAGGTGGACCTGAATTGTATTTCTTTGGCTGTGTGGAAGGAGAGCAGCTTGCCCATAAAACAGTTAATAGTGTAGAAGCCTTTGCTGATACCACAGTATACAAATTGGTAAGGAAGGGGTTAGCTGTTGAGCCAGCAGTGATAGAATTGCGATCCAGACATACGGATGTTTTGTAGGGGCTTGGAGCTACAGCAGTTGGCTTTTCTGTTGCTTCATCCATGTGTTTTTTAAAAGCAGGTAGGCATAAGTGCATAATTGTCTTGTTAATTGCTTTGGGTTTCTTATATTAAGAAAAAAAAAAACCCTGGGTGCTAACTGGAACCTAAAAAGAGCAGGTGAAGTTGCCCAATTAAGTACATCTTTTGAAATATGCTGAAAGGGGCTGTTTCTGGTTGTTGCCTACAGAACAACTCTTCACAATGTTGTGGTGCTCTCTTCTGCTCAGTTACTTGTAGTCTCTCAAGAACGATAAGGAATGTGTGTGTTGACAAAGCAATTATTGTTATTTATTTATTTTTTTCGAACTACCTAAAACCATGGGGGAAACTGTTGCACTCATGAGAGGATTTCATTCTATTTTGAAAAAGGAATTTCCTTTGCAGAGAGAATGTGTTGTATCTAAAAATGGAATGGATTTTTAAAAAGTTATCTGCTAAGGATTTAGTCTCTCTGATTATAATTATTATTATTTACACTGTGCACTGAGAAAGTGTCATGAAGCTAAGTTAGGAAGGCTTCATTAAATAATAAAATCCTTTCGTTATGTAGGATTTCCAGTTTCACAGATCTCTGTCGTGCAAAGTAGCGATACCAGATGTGACCATCTTTGCGCATGTGATGCAGTTTTTCCTTTTGCATATGATTGATGGTGCAGAAAACAAAAATAATTAAATATAGATCTTTGTGCCCTACCTATTGTGATAGAACTTCCTTTCTGCAGTGTGTGTTTGATGCTGTCCCCTTACACCTGCTTCATTAGGTAGATTGCCTTTTCTATTTTGTTGCACTGAACAAAATTTGAGAGAGGTGGTGAATGACTTGCCCAAATCCATGGTGGATTTCCCTTTTGCATTTGGTTGACTGTGCAGAGAGCAAAAAATAATTAAATATATTTCATAATTAAATATATTTAATCAATGGTAAATTCTGATGAGAGTTCAGCTGATTCTCAACAGTCTAAATCTCTGCCATCTCTTATATCTGTTGGGCAGTGCAGGAGATTTGCTTCCTACCATCGTACTGTAAAAAGCAAGTAATATTGCATACACGATGGCCAGAATTCTGTTGGCAATTTACATGTGCATAAGTGAAGTCACATAAATCATGGCAACGAATTGCTGCTGATTAGCAAGGTGCTGGTTGCATTCCTCCTTGTGTTCCAGGCAGTCAGCCAGGAAGGCATCTGGCATCTTGTAAATTAGTGGCAACTCATTGCCATGACTTCATTTGCACATGCAAATCACCAATAATGTTCTGACCTGTGGGATTTAAAAGCTCTGTGCATTTTCAGTTTCTTCTCAACCTTCAGAATTTCCATGCTGACCCATTCAAGCCGAGTGTAACCCTTGCCCAGCCCCTGATGAACCCCATTTCTTTGCAGACCCAGGAATGCAGAGAAACACAAGCTTATCAGTTTGCTTGGCCCATCGCAACCCAAGACTGATTACCTGTAATTTACAGTAAGAACTGTGTCCCTTTGACAATAAAGAGCTTCATGCATTTCTGACATAGTGACATTGACTAGACCAGAGCGTTTGTAATCTGGTTTAGGCAATTTCACTTCCTATAGGGCTATATTAGCTCATTGAGATAATCACCCTCTAACATTTCATTTGATAAGAGTAAGTATTCTTAACACAGCTTCAGGATTCTACTGGGTAGCTGACTGGATAGGTCGGTGAGGTGGCATCCCTGGCTGCAGAGGGTAAGGGTTCGATTATCCCCTATGCCTCCTGGGAGAGGAGCCAGCCTGTGGTGCCTTGGCCAAGCTGCACAATCCCAGGGTGCCCCCAGAAGAAAGGAAGAGTTAAATAGTTATGGGTAGTGCCTACCTAGAAAACCTTGGGGAGGGTTGCTATGAGTCAGAATTGGTGTAGTGGCAAGAAATTGTTAGTATTGGGTATAAATCAGTGAAGTGGCATGACACCTGCCCAAAAAACACATTTGTCTTATTATGGCAATGCAGATTATACTTTGAGAGTTTATTGCAAATTTTCCAGGACTATGTAGCAAAAAAAGAAAAACTCTGCCAGCCCCACTTGGTCACAGAAAGTGGGCAAGAAACAAAACTGAATATGTATACCTCAGTAATAACACTGAAAAGCTAGTGTGTGTACACATAAAAATCTTGGGATACTTTTCCAACAAAGTTCATTCAATAAAATACCACTATACTACATTGCAAGGTGGTTTTTTAGCTTTTACTAAACTCTGAAGTTCGCTTTGTGTGTATGTATGTGCATGTATGTTTTTAATTTATTAAAATAAGCTGCTGTAATTTATTTTCAAAACAATTAAAATGTAAACAAAATCCAGACTTGCAGGCCAATCTTAAAAAGTTTTGGACTTTGCAGGAGAAGGAAGAAAAGATGTTTTATATGAAAATGAATGCACTTTGGGTGTGCTTAGACTTTTTGAGGGGATCAGGCTGTTTTATGGACTGGGTTCTGTATGGCCTTGTCTGTATATATTGTATTAATAGGCACGTTTTTTGGTTTCTCATTTGGAAGCATTTGTAACTGCTGCAGGGTCCTGTCTGTAAAATGGATGTACTAAATAATTTTGCCTCAGAGTTTGAGGTGGAAGGTTTTTTTTCCTTTTTGGGTACATTTTTGTCAACCATAGGAGGGAACTTTGACTCTTCTCCTGTTTGTATCTCATTTCTATTGTGGGTTGTTTTTTTCTGTTCATTTGTTCTTTTGGCCTGTGGGTGGATGTTTGGCAGGGTTGGGGGGGAAGGGTTTGAAATAAAATACTTAAATAGTCCTCATATGTGTTCTGTCTTTATTATGAAGAGGAGGAACATTCACTTGGATTAATTATTTCCTCCTTGTATCTCCAGTGTTCAAAATGTTTTATTTCAGTGATCTGTATCACTAGGAATGGCCTTGCTATTAGGCAAGACGTGTTAACTGCTTCAGGCAGCAGATACAGGAGTGCAAAAGTATCAGTGCCCCCCCCTTTTTTTTACAGTGCCAGTGCAAATTGTCCCACCACCCAAAGCAGGAAAAACTTTATCATTCCCTCTTCTCTCTCTCTCTCTCTCGTATTTACCAAGGGAGGGGAGGGAGGTACTACCTTTCTCCCTGCATCATGTCCTAGCCTCCATGTTGCAGCTGCTTCTTGGGTAGCTGTTGGTATTGTGCATGGCTTCAGGAGTCCTTGGGTGGGGCCAAAGATCTGTGAGAAAGGTGGCAAAAAAAAAGGAATATAAAATCATCTGTGCCTCCTCTTCCCACAGTGCCTTGACCTTGAGGGTTCCTTCAGCCATAAACTTTCCCAATGGCTAGTTGAGAAGCAGCCATGCTATGAAATTCTATAGGCAGCTATTTAGGTGAAAAAAGGACGGGTGGTGGCAGCAGCCAGATAACGAGCAGTGGCAGTTTTTCAACCATTCCAGTACTCTGCTGTCTGTTTATTGTACATACCACTGACATGAGGCAATTATGTGGAAAATGGAAAAAGTTTATTTTTATTATTTATTTATTTATTTATTTATTTATTTATTTATTTATTTATTTATTTCATATCCCGCCCATCTGGTATATTCTACCACTCTGGGCCTCGTATCATAGAATTGAGTTGGGAGGGGCCTATAAGACTATCAAGTCCCGCCCCCTGGAAAGTGTAGGAATCCAAGTCAAAGTAGATCTGACAGATAGTTGTCTAATTTTCTCTCAAATGCCTCTGGCGTTGGAGCATTCTGCCTCCTCAGGTAATTGGTTCCATTGTCATAGTGCTCTAATAGTAAGGACGTTTTTCCTGATACTCATTTGAAATTTGGCTTCATATAACTTGAGCCCATTATTATGTGTCCTGCACTCTGGGATAGTCAAGAACAGATCCTGCACCTCCTCTGAATATCTTTCAATTTATTTTAGGATAGCACTTTTCAATCTCCCCGTAGTCTTCTTTTCTCAAAGTTAAACATACCCAGCTCTTTCAGTCTTTCCTCACAGGGCTTCGTTTCCAGTCCCCTGATCATCCTTGTTGCCCTCCTCTCGATCTCTTGTAATTTGTTGATATCCTTCACAAAATGTGTTCAGAACTGGACACAGTATTCAAGATTAGGCCTAATGAGTGCCGAACAGAGGGGGATTAGTACTTCATGGGATTTGGAGACCATACTTCTGTTACATTTTAAAAAGTTGATCCGTTCATAGAAAGCTCAAGGTTTGCCAATAGTGATTCTATGAAGTATTGCCCAACCTAGAAGTTGGTTTCTGTGGAAAAGTAGCCTACAAATCATTTATGCCACCTATCAAAAGCAAATGCACCTTTTTTTTGAGGCCTCAGATTTGAACTGTAATTCAGTCATGGAATTTGTCTTTTATTCCAGAGTACAGGAATGAAACGAATCAGTACTGTGTTGCCTCATGGCATGCAAGGACAAGCCAAGCCAAGACAACTTTGGGAGAATGTGGTGTTTTTTTCTTCCAAGTCTTTTTCTGTAGAATTTTAAACACATTCTTCCATCTCAGTGGTAATTAGTTTACCTATAATAATCAATTAGAAACTTCCATACTGCTAACTGTACAGACAGTTCCTTCAATTTAGGTTTGGTTTCAACTCAACTTTTTAATTTAGGTTTTTAAAACCTAGGTTTTGGTTTTAACTTCCTGTTTTGAAGATGAGGGTTTTTTTTAAAATATATAGCACTATATCTACAATTAATATATTGACAGTACTGCAGCTTTCAGAGACTGCTGAAGTAGCCTTCCTTACATCCTTCCCCACTGGCTAAGCTGGCAAGTACTGTTGGGAATTATAGTACAACAGTACCCTGGAATGCATTTCCATATCTTGAAAAGCTCTTGCTTTTTTGGGAGGGGGGGCATATTGAGCCTTGGTTGATGGAACACCTGTCAGCCACAGAATATGGCACACAGTGGTAGCACAGTGAATTCTCAGTCTAGAACATGTTTGCTACAACTGGGCTCATTTTGCAGTGTGTGTCAATTACAGCAACTCTGAGGCAGATGCAGAATGCCCTTCTTGCTATGGATACATACGACATTAAGTTTGAAAGGTGACTTAAAAAACACCTGAAGTGCGAATAAAAGGAAAAAAATATGACGACTCTTACTTCTCTCATATTCCCAGAAGCTGCTTTGAGAAATTTAACTTGACTCTAGACAGGCGCAAATAGGTAGGTTTTGTTATGCTGTTATGCCATCTTGTGTCTAACATGTGAAATTACAAAGATTTCGTTGAACTGAGTTTGCTGGTAATAGCCTGTTTCTAATATACTAGTAAGGATAATAATACTGTACATTTATTATAGCCAGACCAGATGTAAGATGAAAGGACTCTGATTCAGGAATTCCTTGTTTAAAAACCAAAAATGAAGTAGTAGCCCCACACAACTCCTTTCAAGATCAGGGAGCTGCAAATAAAAATGTTTTTCATATTTCCTGTATCATTTCCCCAATCTAAATCTGAATTAAGTGGGGGGGGGGAATCTCAGGATGAAGCAGTTTATGCTATTACATAGTTATCAAAAGGACTCTGATTCAGGAATTCCTTGTTTAACAAGCAAAAATGAAGTAGTAGCCCCACACAACTGCTTTCAAGATCAGGGCTTTCAAGATCAGGGAGCTGCAAATAAAAATGTTTTTCATATTTCCTGTATCATTTCCCCAATCTAAATCTGAATTAAGTGGGGGGGGGGAATCTCAGGATGAAGCAGTTTATGCTATTACATAGTTATCAAAGAAGCAAGTATTAGTCTGTTCCAGGACATCATCCAGCTCCCCAGGTACAAGAGACAAGGTCTTGTGGTACCTATTGAGACTTATTTTAGCTTGTCTTTCTGTGGATTATATTGCAGTATCTCAGAATGCATTATGCGCTATTGGCTGTACTAGTGTAACAGCCGTGGTTGTTCTCAAGTGCTCCCAAATCACCAAAAGGGTATTTGAGAATGTAACATACTACATACCTCAAAAGGGTATTTGAGAATGTAACATACTACATTTCTGTGACTTGTGAGCACAGAAATTCAGAATGAAGCAATGTTGCTGCCTTCCTCTTCTGCATGCATTTCACACACCAACGTGTTTCTTTTTTTTCCAGCAAACAAAATCTTTTCATTTAGCCGAAGAATTGTAACTATCCCATCAGTACTGAATCCACGTCCTTTGAACCGCTGCATGGTTTTGACAGATTAAAGGCCTAGAGAGAGACAGAATGAGGCTAGCTAGTTTGATCTGGCATAACTCCACATATACATATGCAAGCATCTGTCAGTGCCACCCAAAAAGGCAGTGATTGTCTGCTCTGTATGGGTGCCTGAGCATAGGAGGGAAGAGTTAAATTATTTAAGGCATCTTTCCATCGTATAACTTTATTGTTTTTTCTTCTTCGGGCATGATATCTTCTCTAGGCTACAGTGCTATTTCTGTTTTCAGAAATGGCATTTCCTGCTTTTTCCAGGTGGAGAGCGTGGATTTAATGAATGCAAGTGTTCTTAGTCTCCATGAAAAAAGATCCCACAGATAAGGGTGTGTATGTGTATCCACTGTAAATGCTGTTTTTAAACAGGTAAAGAACACACACACACGCAATATAAGAAAACTAGCTAGCCTATTCTATTTACTCTGAAGACATTAGATGAGTTTGCATAGAACACAATTCCCAATGGTGTAATAGTAACGGGCTGAAATCTCAAGGTACATGTTCCCATTAGTTCTGGGTCTTTCCCTTTCTTCTATATTTTTTCCTCTCCGACTTGGATGACACCCATCAGCTAGTCCTTGTGGGCCTCCACCAGAAATGACAGAAAACAAGCAGATCTGCACATATTCATTTTGATTTCTCACTGGTATGCAGCTGTGAATTATGACTAATTAACAGCTTCCGTTTCAGATGGCTCAAAGTAAGCAAGGGCACCTCTCTCTCTTGATAACCAGATGGACCTCTCCTGGGCCTTCTTCTGGGCCAACCTGGCTTTTAGCAATAATTCATATACAGGTGCTGTTAAGGCATTTTAGAACTTCTTCACGGTAATACCTGAGCTGGATACCTCAGTGACATGGGTACCAGTGAGTCTTATAGAAGAGCCAGCTTGTGTGGTCTTTGGTATTCTACATAGTAGCAGAGTGTCCGCAGAAGAAGGGTATGATAAACCATTTTTGAGTACTCCCTACCTAGAAAACTCTGGAAGGGGCTCTCCATAAGTTGGAATTGACCTGATAGCACATAATTATTTTTATTGGAACACCATTTATCTGTTTTTTCCTTCCTCTTGCAATTTGTTAGCTTTTTTTTTTTGTCCATGTCTGTGTTCTTACTCCCTACCTAGAAAACTCTGGAAGGGGTCTCCATAAGTTGGAATTGACCTGATACCACATAATTATCTTTACTGGAACACCATTTATCTGTTTCTTCTTTCCTCTTCTTTGTCGCACTACTTCATTTCACTTCAATTTGTTAGCTTTTTTGTCCATGTCTGTGTTCTATATTATTCATGTTGATTTTTTTAACGTTTCCTCCTCTTGGGTTCCCCCCTCCCTTTAAGATTTTTCTAACCTTACTAACCTTCATGCTATCCCAAGTTTGTTGATGTTTTCCTTTTAGGCATGGACAATGTGGGATTGTTTAAATACACACGAACATGCAGAAACTTGCATCATTGTTAGGAAGAATGATTGTAATTAAGCAATCCGGTGTAGAATGGGGCCAAAACTGTTCATCAAGAAGGGTGGCGAGTTGTGACAGAACAACAGCCTAGGTGATATTTCTGTTCTATGTTAATACAATGATGG